TCAGAATTTTGATATCGCCAACTGACGTCTTGTCCAGTGTTGATTGAAGTTGTCTGTAGAATTCCTCCTTTTTCTCTTGCTCTGCATTATTTGTAGGTGCATAACATTGTATGATTGTGACCTTTCTTCCTTTTGAGTTGAATCTTGCTGTCATGATCCTGGAGGAGATTGGTTCCCACTGTATGAGAGCCTTCGATGCTCTTGAGGACATCATGATAACCACTCCATAACTCAGTGTGCTCGTGGTTGGCGTCTGGGTGACCGGAGTAGATTATTGATTCTCCAGTTGACAGTTTGGAGAGTCCACTCCCATTCCATCTGCTTTCGCAAATCCCAAGCACTTCGATGTGATACCTTCTCATCTCCCTTGCAATCTGGGCTGCCTTACTGGGTTCAAACATCGTGCGGACATTCCATGTCCCCACGTTTACTTTCGCTTTCATCGAGAGAAGACACATCGGCCAATTGGCTTCCCGAAGGCTTTCACCAACTGGCGTCATTTCGCCTCTCCGATTCCAGCGGGGAATAAGTTTGTTTTCATTTTTTATATTTTGTTTGTGCTTTGAAGTTTGTTTAGCGGTTAGATTTGTTTTGTGGTGTAGGGTTGCTAGCCCTATGCCCAACCTTCCCTCTTTACCCGGGCTTAGGACCGGCTAGTAACTAGTAAACTAGTTAACCAGGCGAGGTTGTGGCCCTTAAAATCAGTCAATATTTACTCTTAAACCAGCAGTAGCTTTGTAGTAAATGAACAAGGGAGGATTGGTTTCGTTCCAACATTTTAGTGCATTAGTAAAGAATTTCACAACTAACCTGAATAGATAGTCAACAACACCTGACTCTCTATATGATCGCTCTAATGGGTATAAAATCCATTTGAAATACGTTGAAATGTTCAATCATTTTCTTAAAATTAAAAATAAAGTGAGTTGAGAAGTAATTTTGATTTTCAACTAACAAATACTGGTATAAAACCAATTAGTGAATCTGCATGAAGATATTTTCGATACTATAGAAAAATCTTATTCTAGTTACGTTCTATGAGTTAAACTAAAGGGGAAAATCTCTGAAAAAAAAGCGGAAAACAGTTGTTAAAAAGCCTTTCGAATGGAGTCCTCACTAAACATAGTTAACAACACTATGCAGACCTAACGTTTGGCAAAAATTTAGAAGGCAGCTACTTTGGTATATTGTTTAGAAACTTCTTCTACTGGGAAAATCTTGAAGAAAGTCACCTCTTTACGTCATCCTTTGTTATAGTGTCCTTGAAACTAAATACACATTGACCAATCCTTGGCTTTAGTATCTTGAACCTGAAGAAAAAAACTTACAGTTCATGGAGAAAAACTTCTCATTTTCTCACTTAAACGCATTTCTATGCATTCAAAACTGGTCGTATTCTGATAGATGATGGTAAGTCTGACTACCCTTTTTGTGTCAATACATCAGCTGTCATTGAATAACAAAACTGTGATGAATAGTAAAGAATAATATGGAATATGATTAGAGTTGCATTAGGATTACGAAGTTTAGATAAGAAGTTTCCTAGCATCACAAAATATTTGGAAACTATAGTGTGATCAGAAACAAAAATGAGTAAGAAGAGAAGATGAATTTCCACTACACTTCATAGGGAAAAATATGAAACCTCGTAAAGAGAACCCTACCACTGTGCCAAAAGGGTACTTTATATGGATCTAAATTTCAAAGGTGGTTCTACCACTGGCATCAAACCCTCTTAAGATAACATTCTTTGAATCAATGCTTAGATTGGTATTCTCCTGTCACCAAATAATTTCCAACAACTTGAAGTACAAACTTTCGTATCTTATCACTTCTATGTTTTTCTATCAATTCACTTGCTTTTGTGTAGTCAGGTATATAGGTCATTCAATATGACTGTTATCCAAAACGGTTTAAGAGCATTATCCTGGATGGTTACAATGAGGTAACAGTGTACTGATAAGAAGGGCTACAAACGAACACATCGTGAACTTGGGTTACTCTATCATATTAATCTCCACATTCATTTATATTTATGAAGTGGAGAAGAACGTTTAAAAGGTTGTATGTTTTCTTTACGTCGCCAAAGCTTTTGCCACCTTGTGGAGAAACTTGAGGTTTTTAAATCGACGAAATTTGTTTAATCTCTTCATTTTCAGTTTTTGAAACCATCTGTTTCTTTCTACACTGTTCACTTCTTACATAATTTATCATTCACTCTCGTTTCTATGCTCTTTCTAGTCATACTCTAGTTCCCAAATATTTCGTTATGCTAGGAAACTTCCTACGCAAACATGTTAGTATTTATACAACTCAAGTCATATTCTGATTATTCTTCACTATAAAGACATTTTTCTTTGAGACAAAGTGAAGACCTGGTTTTGGCGCCCTGGTTATTTTGTGCTGCCTAATAAATTTAAATGGTAAGTTATTTTCCTACAGTATGTCAGTTAATGTTCTTCTCTCGTCTTCCAAAGTATCATCTGTACATATCCGCAGAATTCTACTGAATAAGTACCTAACTAATGCTTGCTTGTACTGAACTGGACAAAAGCTTTGATAGTTCATATACTGCCCTGTCTATGTAGGTTTTCTGTAAACAGATCGTTTTATAGATCCATTCTGCAGCCGACTTATTAATATGTCCAAGAAAGGCAAGCATTCATTGTCCTCTTCTATGCATTTCAGAGATATGCTTCTCTGTACTTCATTCAATCGGTTTAGAATTGAATTGGACTGACTTGATTTATCATGAGTAATTAGGATATCATTGACATATCTTTGATAAAGATGGGCTTAGTCATCTGGGTTCTAAGCTGTTTTCCCTGTGTGACATAAATATGTCAGCTAAGAGAGGAGCTAAAGGATATTCCAGGGCAACGCCATCAACCTGGCGAGGATGTTCGCCCTCAAGTGTCAATTTAATATTACTTGTACATAAAGTAGTAGCTCTTTTAAATAATCCAGAGAAATGCGAAATATAATCACATAAGATGTCAATTGTCTTGACCAAAGTGACTTTGGTGAGTAATGTGTTAACTTTTCATGTTGACACCTTCAAGTCATTTGATTACTTCAAATAAATATTTTAAGGAATACTTACAGAATCGTTTCTTAATAGGTTCCAGTAATTCCGCTAGCCTCTGAGCAAGTTTATGCGTTGGTGATTTGTACATTGACATTTTAGGAAGTAACAGATTGTTGGGTTTGTGTACTTTGAACAAACTGTAAAGATATGGGAATTGAGGTTCAGCTGGTTTCAAGAAATCAAATTTTCGTCTGGTAATAACGTTCATATCAAGCCGTTTCACTAGATCGGCTGTCACAGTTCCCTGTAATAATTGTACTTCTTCTGAAGAGCAATCTTCAGTGAATTCATTTTCATCTTCAAGAATAGACGACATTTCACATTTACATTCTATTTAGTCCATGATCACGACACCTGAGCCTTTATCAGGTCTGAGGATAGTAATATCGGGGTTGTCTTGTAGTTGCTTCATAACTCTGAAATGTTCCGAAGTTAGAATACTTCACTGGCTATCATAAAACTGGTGGATGATATCCACTATCTTGACTTTCAGATATCTTTGATCATCAATTATAGTTGGAACGAGAGGTTTCAACTGGTCAAATAGATTTCCAAACTGTGCATGGATAGCGAAATCTGATGACTTCGCTTGAGGAATACAAAATTTAAGCCTCTTTTCATTTCCTCACCCCTTATCTTTATGGATTTTCACATAAATACCTATGACAAGTATATGTGTGATCACATAGTTTGAAATGCGTTGCAGAAACACATTATACCGTCCAGACAATTTACGTCTTTTTATTGTTTTGTCAAAACGTTTCTGTCTTCGTTGAGGTTATCCCTTGAGCATGCTTACATACCTTTATTTCGTCGTAAGGTTATAACGTTGTTTCAGCCAATTTTAACATTTTTCTCCTTATTAGTTGGTAAAATTAAATTACCTCATTTGTATGCTTGTGATATATTCCTAAATTATCATTTTATAACTCATCTCTTGACTGATAACTTACTGCTAAGTGACCTGACGAGCTTCACCAAAAGATTATCATTCATCATTTCACGCATTCACAGCACTAAAGATTTAGCAGTTATGCAAATCTCACTTACAATATAGTCTCGACAAAAGCTAAATTATCATTATTATTATTTGTCCCTTGAGTTCCTAGTGGAACATACCGCTTCAGTAGCACGTCTCCAGTGAACTCTCTTCTCGAAAATCTTTTGAACCTGGCTACACGACTGCCCACAACCTCTCATTTCTTCCTAACACAATCTCCTCCATATCACCCTCACCTCAAACACCCAACTCGTCGCTTCCCCTGGGGATTCCACTCGAGTACCTGGCCTGGCAAGTGATGTCCACAGTCGGCCTTCTCAATGCATGTCCAATCCATCTCCACTTCATTCCTATGCATATTTGTTGAGTGACAGGTTCTTGGTTGATTCGTTGCCAGAGTTCCTTGATGCTTATTCTTTCTGGCCATCTGATGTTCAGTAACGGGCTAGCGTAGGCAGTTTTTGATGAATATCTGTAGTTTGTAGGAAATCCCTTTGGTGACATGTCAAGTCTCTGAACCATACATGAGCACTGACTTGAGTGGTGTTGGTGTTGAAAATCCGGATGTTGTTCCGCATGCTGAGTGCAGAAGATCTCCACACTGGTTTCAGGCTAATGAAGGCCTGTGTTGCTGTCTTTCCGATCATGCCTGGCTTTGACATCGTTGTCTGTGCCTGTGCCGCCTGTAGTTGAAACAGTGCTTCCTAAATAGATAACGGAGGCCACTTCCTTTAAGTTTCTCCGGTTGATGGTGATTGGAGTTTGTTGTTGGTGGTGGTGTTGGTTGAATATCTTCATCACCTTTATCTTCTCAATATTCACTTGATGTCCATAAGCTAAAGAATAGTAATAATTCAGCAAGGAGTTTCGAAAAAAAACACTTTTAAGTCACTATTTAAAATAAAAACTTACCACTAATCTTGTCTTCATTTAATTTTTGTGAAATGTTTTTCACATTTTCAGCATTTCTGATACTTGATTGACTTGATCTCCGATGGGATACTGAACCTCGTGGTGATATCGAATACACAGTAGTATTCTCAACACCGTACTGATGATGTGTCTTTTTAACTATATCACATTTCATTCCATAGGCATCAACTTCAGGAGGATTTTCCTGGAAGAGTGTTTACAAGAATGCATCAGTAGCAAATTGTTGTATTATATATGTTAATTAACTATCCCTACGGAAGGAGTATTTGACTGCAGTGAATACTTGCAGAGAAAATGCATCAAGTTTAAAAGTTTCTCCCGATGTGATAACACGCTGCAATGAAAAACATCAGATTCAGTTTCACTTAAGTTATGCTATGAAGCAACAGACTGAATAGTTTAATTAGCAAAACCTGTAGTATTACCAGGGTTCATAAGCCGAATTATCGCATTAAAACACAAGGAAGATGTAGAAATGTTTCAATGGATAAACTCTGAACATTTAGCATGGGTCTTTTGTCACATTAGAAATCGCTCAAATCCTAGTGAAATCACCACAACAACTGATACTCGTTGCACAAAATGTGGCTACCGTACTCCATGGTGGCTTAGTGGCTACCGCTCTGGCATTTGAAGCGTAGGGTACTGGGTTCGAACCACGCTAGGAACAACATCATTCACTAGGGTGCAGGTACATCCAGCTGACTAGTCTTAAATAGGACGAAGTGTGCATGTTAGATTCCTCTACTAGACATCAAGATTAGTCTAGTCTAACGACATCACACCTACCGAAAATAAGGCTTGATTATTTGCATATATGAGGGACTTAAAACGTCACCCTAGGAACGGCTGAAATAGCCAATCAGCTTTCTTTGTTTCGAATGGAAACGTAGTTTTTTCATAAAATGAGGAACCCTAATATGTCTAGTTTAGTAGTTGTCAGGATGATTTTTAAAGGTACTTGCATATAGCTGGTATAACATTAGTACTTTGATGTAACAAGCCTTCATGTTATGATATTATTCAATAATTCACTGAAGACAAATTAACGTCTAATGTTAACGGGAAATTTACTCTTAAAACTAAGATATCGCCTGAAGAGATCGTGTAAGTCGTCAGTACAACTATTGGTGCATTTGATGTTTAGAGCAAAAGATTAAATCAGCTGGCTCACTGATAAATTAGTTGAGATTAGCTAACAGACAAATCATGCAGTAATTTAATAAGTTAAACTAACTATTGACGAAAGACGAACATCATAGTTTTGTACAAACAGAAAACAGAAGAAAGGTTCAATCGAAAGATTATGTCACCAAGTGAGGGGATATGTAAGAGGTTTCGTTATCAGAGTAAAGAAAGGCTTGTAACTGCTTCTTTTTTATCAAGTAATTTCATTTTCAAGCGTTTAACAGACATCTTTGAAGGATTTCATTTTATCTCCTTAATATTTTTGCCATTTGATGCTAGGGCACTGAAATGTTCAAGACCTTCGTTCCCCTGGGACATGAACTCTTTGACACATGTCCAAAGAGTCTTCAGTATATCCTCCTTTTCGGTCACCCAACGTAGATTCTGCAGATACGCAGAAAATCAGTCTCCAAGTTAGAGCTAGTACGATAAAGGAACCTATCAACCTTCGATACAATCAAAGAGCATCTTGTCATACTAGAAGAGATCTTATTCATGGTATATGTTTCTCTCGTACTTACTGATGAATTTCTGGGGAAAAATGTTGGCTCACAGCTCGTAAACTCTCCTTCTCATTTATCCCTTGAACAAACCCTTTTAGCTCGAGGAAACACCATCTTGGTTACTGTTCATTTACATTTGATTAAACAAAAGCTATTGGAATTCATGTGTGAAGACACATTCAATGGAGCGGGAGATGGCGTTGATTGGGAAGATACAGCTGATAGTGGTAAAAATACTAAAGTTGGTATTCATCATGGACTGACATATTTTGGAGAAACACTGGTAACCCACGAGCACTGGGCGGCTGATTCGTCCTAGTATGGGACTCTTCATTAGTGTGCACCCATGACCCAGCCCCACCAGGGGTTGAACCCAGGACTTTCAGGTTGCAATTGTGCCACTGCATCAGAATCCAGTGGTTCAAATTTCTTACTTCTGTCAGTTCATGACATAGTGCAACCATCATCATCGTTGATTATTTGTCCTCATGGTCGCCAGGTTTACCTTACCGGTCACGATTTCTCATTGGGACTTCGGGAATCATGTCTCCAGGCTAGTCACCAGTGAGCACGTGAAAGATCACTAAATCCCCACAAATCCCTTAAATCAAGAATACTAAACCTTGAAATAGGGTTTCCATTTGAGAAAAATTTCTCGGTCTGAGTCTCATTATGAACAGTTCTTGTCGTTCATATTTCTATCCAATATTGCAAATTTTCGTTGCTTAGCTCCTCACTAGTCGAAGGTTATCACTTTTGACGTTTCTATACTGACTACTTATTTGCGTCTTATTCAGGAACTCTCACAATAGTCTATTTCACGTACTATTTCAATGAATGAACCTTTCGAATCTTACCATCTTTTCTAAGTTGCAAAGCAAGGTTTGGAAAGCCAAACTTATCAGTAGTTTCTTCTTGCATGGAATATTTAGGGTGACTTTAAAGGTCACCCTAGCAACTGGTAATATAATCAACTACGTCTTTTTATTTTACGAAGAACTCCGTTTCTAGCCGGGATGTCCAAACCTGGTTGGTTATTTCAGCAGTTGCTAGGGTAGCCTTTAAAGTCGCTTGTAATGCTGATCGTTATTAAAAGAGTCTTAGTAGGATGTACGACATGGATAGTTTCATAGGAAAAATGTAACGCCGTTGTTTTTGAAACCGTATGTTGTTTATCTAACTGTATCAACAAACCCTGTCCTCCGAAAATTAGGTATGAAGGTCTCCTCTTACACTAGAATCACTGGTACTCTATAGCTTCAGTGATATTGAGGGTCGTAAAACTGAGACCAAATAGTAGGGAGTATTCAACTTTCGAAATTACTACAAGAAGATCAGAACGATGACAAATGATGCCAACACTTTCGTGAAACTGAATCCTTTTGACGAAAAGTGTGCATCAAAGAATACTATGAACCTTAGTATAAGTATGGAGTTTAGACGTGTAATTCCGTATTTACTGACATTTTAGGCTATATCACTAGAAATGTTAGTGGGAATTAAGTCTCCAACAAACTGGAAAGAATCTTTCAGAGTATACACCATCAGTTGTTGACGTAAAAGCTCCGACTTTTCGTTAAGTCAGAGAGCGACATTACAATGCAGTGAATTGATCATAGATATTATAGGTCTTGGGAGAGCATTCTGTCCATATACGTTGAGCATGGTGTACCTGAAACTTAAACGAAGCTAATAATACTCCTACATTTAAATTATTAGTGTGAGACCAATATAGTGTACCCTACATTTTCAGTTTTCAGCAGATTAGTATGTTGAACAGTGAGGATATCTTGTCAGTTTGTAGAAACTCAAGAACAAACATGACTGAAATGATTGACACTGAAGTGATTACATTCTAAATACTGATAAAACAAAATTACATATCACGAATCGTCTTCTATCAGTCAGGTTTCACCTTAACAACCTACCAGACAGCTTATCTGTGCTTCGATTTAATTTGAGAAAGGAACATTTTCAATGTGGCAGAGATACCATAGGAGCGACCAATTAACCTTAAGCATATTTCGTAGGTACAGTGAAAAATACGTGTTTTCGCAGAAGCTTATGCGACTCAGGCACCTTAAACACTGTATGGCATATGGAGTTTTATACAGCGAAATTGCATGTTTAGTTTTCATGCAGAAATGAAAAACCCAAGAAAGTCATTCACATGATTTGATGGAATGTTACATTTGCCTTAAGACTTTAATAACTGTGCACAGGTTTTGGAAAATTATACCAATCACATAGCTAAGGTTATCAACAATTTTTTTCCGGAAAGTTTTGTTCAATCCTTGAATTTATTACAATAAAATTTCTGTTTTCACTCATAATGTCGATTATTTAAAAAAATCTGTAATAACATTTATCTCTTTTCAAGAAACGAAAGTTGGCTAGTAGCTTCACTAGTTGTGTTTATAGTTTGTCTGATCAAGGTTACTCATGACGTGTCGGAAAGTTTTTATCAGTGATCTTCATTGATATAAGAGCATACACACTGATAGAGTTTGTCTCTGAGTTGAATTTTAAGTTTTGCGGTACAACTGGATAGATTTCGAGTGAAAAGATTAATTTGAGGATATTTTTTATTATGAATCAAAATCAAAGGGAGAAACCTAAAGAAAGTAGTCTCTTTCACCTACCTAGGCAGCACCGTTTCAGCCACAGGCGGTGGTGGCACAGACAAGGACGTCAAAGCCAGCCACTATCGGAAAGACAGCAAGACAAGCGTTCATCAACCTGAAAACAGTGTGGAGATCCACTCCACTCAGCATAAAGTGTGAACAACATCCGGATTTTCAACACCAATGTCAAGTCAGTGCTGCTATATGGTTCATAAACTTGGCGCGTTACGAAAACCATTTCCAACAAACTACAGATATTCATCCACAGCTACCGTCTACGCTCACTGGATACTGAACATCGATCAGATTACCAGAAAGAATAAGCAACAAGAAACTGTGGCTAGCTGTTAACCAACCAGAAACCTATCGCTGAACAAATATGCATTGGAAAGAAGTGGAGATGGATTGGGCATACACTGAGAAGGCCGACCGGGGCATCACTTGCCAGATCAGGTACTCGAGTGGAATCCACATGGGAAGCGACAAGTTGGACGTCCGTGGTGAGGGTAACATGGAGGAGATTGTATGAGGAAGAAATGGGAGCTTGTGGTCAGTGGTAGAGCGAGGTTCAAAAGATTTCAGGGAACAGAGTGCTTCGGAGCCGTGTAACTGAAGTGGTATGTTCCACTAGGAACTCAAGGGACAAATAATAATAATAATATATAATATGAATCAACATCGATTGTAGGACCAGTGATCAGGAGGATGAGGTAAGCAGCTGTTTCATTTTATGTTGAAATGATTCAGTATTATTTGTCTTTCACCAGACAATTGACTGGGCTTAGAGCCATGAGACTGTGCTATGAATACTTCAACGTTATCTCACTAAGCTCACTTTCAACACAACTCTGAAAAAATCACTAGCTAAG